CATCTGAGTATCCAATGATCTGCTCATGACCTCGATCCTCAAAGAGTAACCCTTTGCCTGGAGCCGATTTTATATATCGAATAATGCGGACAACTGCATCCCAATGACTATCACAGGGAGAATTCATAAACTGACTTACAACACTCACAGGATAAAAACTGTCGGGTCTAGTCACTGTGAGATAATTTAATTTTCCAACCAGCCGCCTATAGCTTGCAGGATCGCTAAGCGGCTCCCCCTGTCCTGGCATAAGTTTAGAATTCGGATCCATCGGAGTGTCAACAGGTCTGCAACCTATCATCCCCGTCTCCTCAAGAATGTCTAAAGCATATTTTCTTTGAGAAATAACAATACCTGAGCTAGTGGGCAACCTCAAAACCTAGAAAGTACTTCAATCTGCCTAGATCCTTAATTTGGAAGTGCTGGAAGAGATGCTGCTTCAGATTGGTAATACCATCCTGATCATTGCCAGTAATAATAATATCATCAACATAGACTACCAGATAAATACAGAGACTTGAAGCAGAGTGTCGATAAAACACAGAGTGATCAGCTTCACTACGAATCATGCCAAACTCCCGGATAACCGTGCTAAACTTACCAAACCAGGCTCGAGGAGACTGCTTTAGACCATAAAGTGACCGACGCAAGCGACATACAAGGCCACGAGACTCCCCCTGAGCAACAAAACCAGGTGGTTGCTCCATATAAACCTCATCCTCAAGATCACCATGAAGAAAGGTATTTTTAATGTCCAGCTGATAGAGGGGCCAATGACGAACCGCAGCCATGGATAGAAAAAGGCGGACTGAAGCCACTTTTGCCACGGGAGAGAAGGTATCACTGTAATCGAGCCCAAATATCTGAGTATATCCTTTGGAAACAAGACGGGCCTTAAGTCGATCAATCTGTCCATCGGGACCAACTTTGACTACATAAACCCAACGACAACCAAAAGTAGATTGACCTGAGGGAAGAGGAACAAGCTCCCAAGTACCACTTGTATGTAAAGCAGACATCTCGTCACTCATAGCTTGTTGCCATCCTGGATGAGACAACGCTTCACCTGTAGACTTAGGGATGGAAACCGATGACAAAGAAAATATAAAAGCATAATGGGGAGATGACAGACAATGATAGCTCAAACCGACATAATGAGGATTAGGGTTAAGTGTGGTCTGTATACCTTTCCGAAGTGCAACCGGTGTACTAGGAGTNACAAGCAAAAGAATTACCAGTAACAGAAGTATCAGTCTGAGCAACTGAGGCTACTTGTGGAGATGTCTGCTTACTTGCTCGATACTGAAGGAGCTCATTATATTCTTCTTTTAGATAAAGAAAATCCTTGGTTACCTGTAGTCTCGGTCTGAGCAATGTAAGCATTTTTGGGTGGACAACCATGTAAAGAATAGCACATTTCACGAGTGTGTCCCAGTTTGTGACAATAAGAACACTTGGGTCTAGATCTTCCAAAACGACCTCATCCTCGTCTATGCTCCATAGTTTGAGATGCTCGAGCATCCATTGTCTGGGATGCAAGAACAGAGAAATCAAGTATCTGTGATAAGATCACTGGTGGACTTGGTGCTGCAGCAAGGCGGAGTAATAGAGAATAATTCATTAACTGTCGCTTCTTGAGCTTTAAATGAAACTCTCTGAACTTTGGCTCTTACGTAGCTTCTGCGGCCGCACAATAATTGTGCGGTCCGCACTTTGCACTGGGGCTTTGTTGATTTTCCTTCACATTCTGCGGCCGCAGATAGAATTCTACGGTCCGCACTTGATCTTTTGTGCCTGATTTTTGTCTTTGTTCAGATCACTCTTACTTGAGTTGGATTTCATTATAGTGGCTCATTTTTCAATACTCCTGCAGGTAAGCATATTTCATCAATTTTCGGGTATACAATTAGACACTTTTGGACTAAAACGAAAGCTAAAAGGCGCTAATAAGTAGTCAAAATTCCCACTTATCAATCATCAACCCCTGTCCCAATCTTGAAGATTCAAGGGAATAATTCACTAGATCATCATCTATCAGAGTAAGACCTTGTACTAAAACCTTCATGCAATTGTTATGGGTTTAATTAGGTTATGGAGTTGGAGATAGCCATGCGTGTGATATTAGGTGGTAGTAGGTGGGATTGTTAAACTATTTTGGGTAGTTTTTGTTGAAATTGGTTAAGGGAGGAAGGATCACCATTGTAGAGTTTCGTAGTCGATTTTGCATAATAGGTGTTTGACAAAATTCCTAAGAGAGTTACACCATGAGAATCCTTCTAATTATTATCCGACTTTCGCTATCTTCCTATAGATTGATATTGCTAGAAGTGTTGGATAGTAACTTAAGGAAAGCTCAAGCAAGGTATGTTGGATAAACTTTCTCTCTTAGAATCGAATTCCATAATGTTTCCGTAAGTTTCAAGTATGGTTGGCCCAGGTTCCTAATTTCCATGTTCCGAGTTGTTCCTAATGAATTCGATTTTCCCAAGTAAGCGTTATGTTGAAAGATGTATATACTCAAAACGTATTCCAATTACTCCTATCTCATTATGATCTCCTTCGGGAATGTGTTTGAGTATGCTTTAGGTGTAAAAATATTATAACTTCAATTTATGTTTCAAATGAAAGTTCATTATACTTAACTTGAAAAGATAACCCAATGTGCTTAAGTCTCATGTAGCTCATATACATATCAAATCTCTATTTCTAATTGTCCTTATTGTTGATAAACTTCATACGAAGTTTGGAAGTGAAAGAAGTAAGGGTGCGATATAAAATGTAGCCATGGTTGTTGTAACTAATGCATATGATCTGAATCCATATTCCAATCGTAGATCACCATGTTATGCTTTGTAAGTATATCCGATGTGTTTATGATTTTAATTTTTAACGTGGGCTTTGATTGCCAATTATTTGCTCTATCTCTTTTGAAAGAAATCTATAGTGTTTAAAGCTTTCAATACTAAGGCATTTTAAGTTATGGTTTTCGGAATACTATATGTTGATGTTTATGATGATGATCCTCGAATGCAAAGAAATGAAAGTATGGAATATGAGATACGACCGGTGTGCCATGAATGAAGAATCACGTATGGCCAAGAGAGCCAAGGAAATAATGATGTTGTGAATGGTTGAAAGTACTAATGAAGCTATATGTGGTGTGAAAGGTTATGAGGTAAATATATTTCTATTTCTATTTCTATTGTGTGCAAAATAAAATATTTTTGGGAGTATCATTTGCGAACCGAGGAAGGATGGGTTGAAACGGCCCACACCCGAAAACTACACGTGCCGGTGTAGGAGTGGATTGTGATTATTGCCCTTATTTGGGATGAGATTGAAATATTGATGTGATGAGATTATTTCCCTTAAATGGGATGAGATTATTCTTAGTGAAGGGTGATGTCGATCCACATGACATTGTGGTGAGACGGCCTAGCCGATCGGGTTGAGATCAGATGCCATGCTGTACACATGGTGGTGATTGTGCTTGAGATAGTGATTGAGATTGTGATTGTGATTGTAATTGGATGTCTTTGGGTGAGACGGCCTAGCCGATCGGGCCGTGATCGGACTCCGTGCTAAAAATACGATAGTATATCGGTGCTAATGATCTCCCAACAAAACATATATATATTATTTTCGTATTTTGAAAATTGTTATGTTTTAACTTGGCATTTGGGTATATCATTAATTATTACTTGTTGCTTATATGATTTTCTCCTTCTTAGATTGACATTCTATTTATAAAGAGGACATTTA